TGCGCCAGCCAGTCGGGCAGCGCACGCGGTGCACGGTCTGTCGGCTCGAGCGCTCCACCTCGTCCAGCACGGTGAAGTCGTCAGCGGCGGCGTCTCCGTCCGACTCGGAGGTGTCCTCACTGTCGTTATTGGCGACGGCGGCTGCCGCTGTGCGCTCAGTCAGGTCGGCCATCACAGCAACACTCGCCGATGATTGGCGTCATCGAAACCGTCGGACGATGGTGGATTCATCACCGATTTTGCAGCAGAGACTGGAAAAACCTCAGCAATAAACAAGGAAACACCTCACAACATGCCACAGCCTGCAATTGTGCATATTGTTATTATATTTCTCACATGACAGAAAATATTGGCTGCTTTATTCTAGGAACTGGCATGAAAAACATAAGCTAAAATCAAGCTAAGTGAATTATTATTGTATTTCAACATGAGACTGGGAAGAAATCCTTGTCACTGTCAACATGACCAGTGTAACGGATGGGCTGCATGAACATTTCGGCGCATGATCTGAAAACTCTGTGAGCAGAAATTTCAGCGCTGAGGTGAACAAATAACATTTCGGCCGCAATTTGCCTGGTGCCCCCACAATTTTACAAAACTAACTCACAATACTTACAGCCAGTTTTAACATGATCCCTGCATGACTCATGCATGCAAGATACACATGCATTCAATATCAGCACAGTGCACACACAACAGTTATGGATTCATTTACATTTTACAACATTACTATTATTTTCTTTTCCTTCAATATTGGCAGCATGACTTGCTGAGCTCAGTGGCACAATCTTATGACAGCAAGTTTGTTCGGGTTCGCAACCATGCAAACTTTGCACGTTTGGCTTCAAAAACAAGCCTTTATACATTTCTTTCATGCTATTCAATTTCTTTTTTTTTTAATTTACTGTCATTGATCTTGAAAATCTTGCCATTTTGGTCTTAGCCATGTCCATTGCACCTTCCCTATTCCACACAGCTCAAGTAAGTTCCACCCAAAAGTAGTAGTGGTATCAGTAGTTGGCGCCTTGCATTGTCAAATGTAGCTGAATATGTGAAAACAGTGACATATTTATTTAAAATCTTGAGTCCAATGAGCCTACCCTCTCTGTCTCTTCTTCCAGCATTTGTTCAAGCACCTTCAATTTTCAAAAATGATCTTCCATCATTATTTTCCACTTCCGTGCGACCCGCAAGAGCAATGAACTTGTAAGCTGACCACTAGTTAATAATGTGCTATCATCTTGCTGTTGGGTGCTTGTAGCAAAAAGATAATATAAACGAAAAAACTAGCACCACAACACCAAACACCAGTCTTGTTGGTTCCTTTTGGTCCTGCCTGGTGACAAAGGCTCTTTCTTTACGCAATATCATCAGTATTCCTCTTCTAATCTTGAAGCCCAGATGCTTTACAAATTGGCCATGAATGATACTTAATTATTATATCAACTGGGAAGCGCAAATCACGATAATTAGTAACAAATGAGGCCAATTGTTCCAACACGACATCAAAAAAATAGACGGGGTCCCCCGTCTATTTTTTGGGCTGTTTTTCTACAAATAATGGCGCAAAATAACACTCCATTAATGCCGCATTTGCCGTTGGTGAAACTCATTGGCTATTTTTCTGGCTGATATTTTTTCACGCCGGCGGATATTTTTTCGCCTGGTTGGTGAAACTCGTCGGCTGGTTTTTGACAGAAAAATTGCGCCGGGCTGCTATTTTTCTGTTGGTAAAACTGGCCTCTGAACTCTAAGACAGGGGGGGTCTAGTCGGGCCTTGGTCTAGTCAACAGACATTAATTAGTGACATTATCTCCGAAGTCTCGTATTCTTCTTCAGAAATATATTTCGACGCAGACAGCAGCAAATTATACGTACGAAAATGCTCTAAATGTCCTTGTCTAGGAAAGACAGATTGGCTGATTGCGACATGATCTTTCCCGAATAATGATTTTTACGAAAAATAAATCAAGAACTTGAAAATATAGACAAAAGGTCATGACTACTGTATCGATAAATATGTACCAATTGATAAAAAATGATCTCTTCTTTTTTAATAAATTTAGTCCGAACCCTTTTCCCTTTGAATGGAAGGATTCACAAGGACAGAGCCCCCGCTAAGCGAAGATTGTTGCGTTGACCCTGCCCTCTGCCCTCCGATCGCGCAATTCCGGTGCTATGGCAGAATTTGGAGTCCAAAGCTCAACGTGCGCACATAGCCGCGCACGGCCGGTCCCCTCACTGACTTCGGCTGGCTACGGCCTGCCACCAACCGCACCCATTGCCTGTCAGGAGGCCCATAAACGTCAAGCGCCCGTCGCGCTTCGAACCCGGACTTTTATAAACGGGTACGCGTGCTCTCACCACGCGGAGTCCAGCGCTCTACCGACTGGGCTACGGAACCGGCGAATTGGTACTGTTATTAACGGCGTTTGGTTAATATACATGGCAAAAACTGCAATGTATCTGAAAACATTGCAGAAATACAGCTTCTGTAAATAAAACTATCTCGAAATTCCCTTTCAGGAAACAATGACATGACCCTAGGACAAATCTGACGATATACCACAGAAACGAATTAAAGGTAGTGTGCCAGCTTTCCTGGACCGTATGGAGTTAATGGCCCAGATAAGGAGAACCGGATTTTTAGAAGTTATCCATACCTTCAAAACTCATGGAAACGTCTTAAATTCTTCAAATTTTGAGTACCCCAGTGCGAAATTTGCCCCGACGGATTGTCGGTCGTACCCCAACCACATTTCACACTACTATGAACAATAAATGCACACACTGAAATCGCTATTACCGATAGGCTCATCCAATCAAGTTTCGATAAACCCGTTCATCATCATCTCCTGCGGTTTCGAACACGCCTGTTAGGTGGTGCGGTAGGCCGCGCCCAAAGCCAGGGCCCCGGTAACGTGAGGTAGCCGAGTCGGGGCAGCGTGCGCTGACCCAAGCCGGGGCCGCGCGTCCTCCCGGTGTCATGTGATAGCCCGGGGCTGCCCGGGGATACGGTAGACCGCGCCCAAAGCCGCGGCCCCGGCTTGGGTCAGCGCACGCTGCCCCGACTCGGCTACCTCACGTTACCGGGGCCCTGGCTTTGGGCGCGGTCTACCGCAGGTGGCTTCTGCTCATACTTTGTGGTGCGGTGGTGGTGCGTCGGGCCGCGCGCTCTGACTTCGGCCAAGAAAAATGCGTCAGCTGATCATTGTCATTTCTGCCACTTTCATGTGGTGAGAATGAGATAGGGTCATAACTTTAGAGACGGCTGTTTCATATCAATTATTTTACATAAAATCATATTTCAAACCATAAATTAATGTTCGACAGCCAAATTAAAGAAACAATACCAATACAGGCTTACAGTTTAAATTCGACATTGTGTTGTCTACGATTAGACAGCTGATAACTCATTCTCGTACGTCGTAACTCTATCATGACATTTGCTTATTGTCACATGTGCGCCGCATTCGCGATTGTTGCCGACGCCTGTTTGCAGGTCAGCCCACTACAGTTGTTATACATATCGAAAAACCGATAATCTTTTAGGTGAAAAAGCACTATTATAGGCCCATTTTTGATTTTTTTTGCGATATTAGGTAAAAACAGAAGCTTTTTATCCTAGGAAAAATAAAATGGGAAATCATTGGAAGGTGGCACACTACCTTTAAAGAGAGCTATTGACGACTTGGGGGTGGGTCATTGCGGTAGCTACCTTATAATTGTTCACAAACAGTTGCGTTATTTGTCAAGAATGGAAATGAATATGCGATTTATATTTGTAGTGATCTCTGGTGATTTGACCTTGACCTTTGGCCTGACCTAACTGACGGAGACCCAAAAGAGGACCGAATAAATAATTACGCGGTGATAAAGTCGTTGATTGCTTACCATTAAGTAAACGGTTTTCAGATGATTTAGGAACCGAATGTGACCGAATAAATACAGAATAAAGACATCCCTCTGGGCACTAAGTGGCACGACCTCTGCCGCAGGTTGCCACTAGTTGCCATTGCACGCCGGTGAATTACTATTAACGCCTCCATGAGTACATTCAACAACTTGGTGCTGACGTGTATACATTTGCTGAATAGCAAATGAATACACGGATGCCCTATTTCTATGGCTGGTGATTACCTGTGCTCACAATATGACCCTGCACGCGGGCATAGATAGCTGCCTAATAGTTTGTCATGAGGCCAGCAAAAAAAAAAACGAAGATGGTGGGATAAAAACTCGACGGCGCCTCGAGACCAGATTTGTCCGATCGCCGAGTATGACGAGCGAGCGACGGTCCGGCCCGGGGCCAAGACCATCGTCCAACAGCCTGCGCTCAGCACCCACACTTCCGGGCAATCACCGCGACGATGAGCTTATAAAAAGGTAAGCCAAGGCAGCGGTAAGAGTGAACATGAAAAAAGTTAGGCGTCGCATGATTTTGACATGTGAACTATTCCCGATTATTTTATCTTTCGATTTTTAAACTTAATTTTAAAACAATGATGACGTATTGCTGTGAAAATTGTTAACGGATAATTATCAGGCAAAACTACTTAGGTACTAGATTCTGACCTCGCTGAAACTTAAAAATATTTGTGCCATTGCAGTGACATTGGGCTCAAGTTGTACCCAATGAGTAAGGACGTTATCATATTTCGCATATTTTGTCACTCGCACTGTGCATGTGTCTATTTAACGAGAACAAATCTTGAGAGCAAAGTTTTTAAAGCATGAATTTCTTGGAACAGCTTCAGAGGTTGAATTACGAGATAAATTTGTATGAACACATGAACACAGATGATTTTGGAGTCAAACCACTTTTGGAAAAAAACGAACTTTTCAGTCGTCGGGAAACCCGGTGCGATCACCGGGGGTCGAGGAACTCGGGGCAGCCGCCGGGGGCAGGGCAGACTCGGCCGGGGTAGCCACCCGGGGCCGGGGCTGACTCGGGTGCAGCCGCCGCGCCGGGGGGGGGGGGGGGATGCCCGCTCACTGACCTGCTCGGAGCGCGCCTGGCGGAGCACCTCCTTGACCACCCACGGTATCATGTGCTTGCTGTAGCCGCTGCTGACCACCGTGTGGCCCAGGTAGAGCGCCGAGTAACGCTGGCTCTCCATGGCGGCAGACCACTCTCTCTGAAACACGGCACAGTGGAAGTGGATCTGACAACAACGCACAGTGGATCTGACAGTCCGCGTGGCGCGTACCGTGGCGCACCAAAACGCAGCTCAGATCCACGACCGAAATGTGCTCCCACGTCGTGTTGTTGAGCAAATACATACGTGGATATTTAGGTAAGTGATAAATTAGCCAAAGCGCTATAATAATCAATGTTAAAATAAATCGAGATAGCAGTTTTGGGGCTCAGCCCATCATCAGATTTCCAATTGCGATCTTATCTCAAATTGGGGCCTAATGATAAGCTACGCCCGAAATTGTGCTCTCGATTTATTTTAGATTTATTTCGGAATACATTCATTATTATGAGGCGTTGGTTTCATTTCATTGCTTGAAAATTTATCAGGATCCTTTAAAAATCGCTTCCTCACACAATTGAAGTGATATCAATAAATATATCAGTGATTATTATCGCCAAAACACCTGTGGATGTTCGGAGCCGTCTGCGCCACCCGGCCGTCGACCAATGGGAGCCGCCGGCGGCGCCATGCTGACCGCCCATTGGTCGGACAGCAGGATATTCTGCCCGGGTCGCGGCGATCATTGTAGCTGGCCCGATGGCTTTTTACGTCGCGTCCGGGCCAGCAGCCAACTCTGACCGGAGATAACAGGACTCGGGAGGCGTATAAGCATTCAGAGTGTAGCAATCGGTGACGAAGAAAAATTTCTTCTTGACACTCGTGATACCATCAGTCGCTAACGTTCGCAGAACAGCTCGAAAACGAGACGCACGACTCGCAAAAGCTTATTTCTTTCAGCATTTTGTAATCATGTTCCCCGTTTTTAAATGGGCAGATGATAATATTTCATGAGTGGAAGAATCCCTTTCGCCGATAGTATAACCAGTATAGCGCCTTTTGGGGCGACTAACGGAGCGAGCGAGAGGGTGAGCCTTGCACGTGCGAAATTTCGAGGGGGTACCTCCAACTGACTTGTGCACGGCACCCTACTAACCGGTCTCTAGCGATGTGCCAAATTTGAGCACAATCGGCCCAGCCGTTCTCGAGATCTGGAAGCGGCACCCTGCACGTGCGCACGTGCAAAATGGGTCCCAACTGACTTGTGCACGGCACCCTACTAACCGGTTGCTAACTGTGTACCAAATTTGAGCGCAATCGGTCGAGCCGTTCTCGAGATCTGAAAACGACCCCTGCACGTGCGCACGTGCAGCAGCACCCCAACTCTGGCACATGGACATGCAGTGCCTAGTGGGTGCCTACCTACATGCCAACTTTGAGCGCAATCGGCCAAGTAGTTACCGAGATATTGCAACAATTGCAAAACTGACACCTCTTCGTTTTGCACGTGGCACGTGCATAAGGGGTCACCCACATGCATCGGGAATAGTCCAATACTTGGTAGAAGGAATGAAGCTACCCTACAAAAATTACCGCATGTAAATCGGTCAAGTGGTTGCTGAGATATAAGCCTCGCAAAAGCGTCCGCACGGCCGGCCGGCCGCTCATACTCAGAAATTTCCGTTATTCTACGTAAGACTCCGCTCGCTTCGCTCGCTCCGTAATTATCTGCATACTAAGCTGAGTAGAACATACTTGCCAATAACATGCAAGATGACCAAGATTGCCTATTGCCGATTTTTTTTTTCGAAATCATTTCGGCATGCGGCAACAACGTCATGCGACATTTAAACCTGACCATGGGTACCTGTGTGTGGGACCCGAACAGAACAAAGACTCCCAAAAGATAATAGCACTTCTATGCTAAGAACAAAAAAGTGGCTTGTGGGACGCTACAGGATGTCCACTGTCCCGAAATTGATTAATAATATCGGAACGGGTTATGTTTTACTTCCACGTAATACCGTCACCTACAGCATGGAATTCTGCCGGCACGTGTAACTCATAAGCACAGCCGCCTGTTGACCGGTCGCGTGACCAAGCCTCGTGACCTGGCCCTGGGTCAAGTCTGTTAACGGAAACCGTTCCCTGAACAATCGCAACGCGCAGACCCTGTATCAACCATGGTGCAAGAGCAAGCCCCATCGACGTGCCATCTATCACACTATGAACTGTGGTCTGACTCATTACCATCACCAGTTAGCCGCAAACTGGCCAAGAACCCTCGAAGCCCGACCTCGCCGACTGTCACTGACAAACGCTGACGAGAAGAGAGAGAAAAACTGCCATAAGTAGAGTGCCAAAAGCGTGGCAAAGTCCGAGCAAAAACGGCACCAATAAACAACAAGACTTGAAGGACAACCGACTGTGTGTGAAGAGAAATACCGTCTCCAAGTTGGTCATGCAACATTATTTGCGGCATTCAGGACTGAAAACGGGTGCTCAAGTCCTCGTTCAGGTTATATCAGCAGCCTAACCACCAAAACGCCCAGTCTTGGCTAGTAGCAGCTCAGAAGTGCCTGTCACCGAGCATAGGATGCAGCCGACCAAGGTGATGGTCTGGAGCACAAATTTCCAAAAAGAGTGAAGGAGAAGTAGATATTGGCTGATCTCATTTTATCTGACATGGTGCCAAGGAATGACATCTATGAACCCAACCAGCAAAATGCAATGGTTGTTTTTGCAATGAAAATTACATAACTACAGAATGAAATGATCAGTAGCATAAGGCATTACCTATTGATCATTTCATACTACATATATTGTTTTATGCCTCAATGAAGGATAACCAATTGAAAAGTCATGGATATAAGGCTCAGTAAGTCAAGGCATGTATCCTATAAGTTGGGTTAGGATTTACATGTTAAGGGTAATGATATGCTTGAAAGGTACCATAATTTCAAGATGCATTCACCTTAAAGACAGTGAAGGTAGGTAGGGTAAATAGTAAATACCAAATAACAGTAGGAGTTCATTCAAAATGGAATATGGCGAAGGATGATATTTAGTGTTGGAAATTGGAATGCTCACTTTCAAATCAGTTGCCACAACTGAGTTGTGGGTGCATAAAACTAGTCTGAACCTGTCTGGATAATAGAAGCTGTTCAGATTTTACCCCTTCCAGAAATAACACGGTGCAACACCATATCTAAGAATGTTTAGAAGACACATTTTTATCATATATTTCATATCCCATATAAGTATTATTTTGCTTAGGCATAAAAGATGCTTACCCTCCTGGAGTGTCATCTCAGGGGCAAAATTTAGGTGCAAGATTAGTAATTAACTAGGTTAGGGAGTGTAATGTTAAATGTGGATATAAAGTAGGTGGTAGCTTGGGTTAGATCGGATTTGGTAATAGTTCTAGGAAAAATAAATTTCATAGTTTCAAGTGCATCTGGCTCACCATGTGAAGCCAGATGCACTTGTCAATGTAATAGCTGCAGTGCAGATGGATAGGTGCATTGGTCAAAGACTACTTATTCCAACGCTTAACCTAATTGGATGCATTATTTAAAGGACCTACCTATTTAAGCTTTAAGGTTCTGAATTCATCAAGCTTCTGACCATCATCATATGTCCTGGGCTGGGATGTTGAAATATGGGCAAGTCTAAAGGCTGAAGCAGACTCTTTCAGCACTCAGGAAATGGCATGCAAGAGCCTACCTATTCAAATACATTAGGTAATTCACGCTCTCAACAAGCATACACAGATCCTGCATGCAAATGATGCCAGTATAATTTTAACGTATTTGCTTACGCTCTTGAATGCAATTTCCTGGCTGTGGAAAGTCTGTTTTAGCTTTAAGATTGCCAACCAGTGGATGCAAGTATCACGAGAGATATGACAGAAATGGTTCATATCATTACAATGAGCCTAACCAAACTCAAAGGCTAATAAGTTAAGCTGGAACACTTACTTTGAATTACCTCTATGCAGTCTGATCGGTTCTAATCACACCTGAGCACTGAGGCACCCAACAATTCAAGACACTTCAATATATTTCCCTCGTGCTCGCAACAAGTCTTTGTCAGCAAGTCTTTGAGGTAGGTCTTCGAAAAACTGAGCAAAACATAATGGATGTAGGACTTTAAACAATATAGGCATCCTAAAACTCACCTTTCAATCGATATTGGTCTTGGACAGGAGGCTGGCACTTAGCACAAAGCTAAATTCCTGGCTCAGGCTGTGGCTCCTGCTGTGTTAGCTGTTTTGAAGGCGCGCTTCAGCTCCTTATTCAGGATTACCTGCTTCGATTTTGAGTTACTTCGAAGGAACAGAGGCGTCACTTTACCTCTAAATAAACATCACTGACATTTTAAAACTAAAACAAACAAAAACACTCAACACACGAAACTGACAAAACAAACACTAATGTTTCGACTGCATGTGATGTCGGTTATTTCGCGCCATAAATGTTCGCATGCGTATCAAATGTCACCATAGCAGAAAAAACGGTTTGCTACCAAATCTACCAAAATATGAGTACAACATACCTTCATTGTCAGAGGAATATATGGATAACTAATCTTGAGATAATGGGCTGGTTTGGCGGCTCCGACAATTAATCTCCAGCCTTCGTTGTGGCAGTTCGGAATTGCAAAATCAGCATTGTTGATAGTTTTTCTGAACTATCTGTCCCGCGCTGTACCGGTGGCCATTGATTTAGGATCCAACCTGCTCTTCCGCATCCCCATAGACCCGGGAACAGGGGGGGCAGCGAGGCGCTTGCCCCCCCCCCCCCAACTTGGGAGCCGAGGGGGCGGCGCCCCCTCAACATTGAGGCAGCGAGAAAGGCTCTATCCTCCCTTTTCCGGACTTATTTCCTTCTTGTTTCCTTTATGCACCTAAGCATCGACACACGGCATTTTCCTAGCCATCTGAATGGTTTCTGCTGATACAGTATCGATTTGACGACATCTGCTATTGTCATCCCGCTTTGGTTTGGGCCTGACCTTGGCCATTAGTTTGGCAGGCCAGATTTTATACTGGACCATTTTGAGTCAACTTTGAGAAATGCGTAACGTACAACGGTGGTAAAATCGTTGCTATAGGTATTATTACACAGTTTACCCGCTCCGGGCGCGAGGGAGGGGTGTGGGGCAATGAGTGCACTGACGTGGCGCCCTCGGAAGGCCGGTATGGGATTAAATCTCAGCTGTGGTGCCTTCGGTTATCGTTAGCACCCTCATAATTACCGGCGTAGGGCCCTCAGAGCCGCCGGTAAGGGGCCTTTAGAGGCAATGGTGTGGGGCCGTCATGCAGGTGCCGGTGTGGGCGCTCAGAGGTGCTAGTGTGATTCTCTCAGAGGCGCTGGTGAGGGTCCTTACAGGCGTTGCTGTGGGCCCTCAAAACGCTGGTGTGGAGCCGTTACAGACGGGTGTGGGGCCTTTAGAGCTGCTGATACGAACCCTCTACAAGCCGGCAGGGGTCTCAGTGACCGGCAAGGGACCCTTATGAGGCCGGCAGAAGAAGTCTTGTGGGGTCCTTAGAGACCGGTATGGTACTGTCAGACGCCGGTGGGGCCCTCAGAGTCACGGGTGTGGGGCTCTCAAAAGTCACCAGTGGGTGGCCTTTAGATGCGCAGGTGTTGGTTGGGTCCTCAGAGCCGCCGATATAGGGCTTTAATAGGCACTGGTGTAGGCACTCAGAGTTGAGGTGTGAAACCCTCAGAGACACCGGTGTGGGCCCTTACAGGTGCCAATGAGGGCCCGACAGTTGCCGTTATGGGCCCTCAGAAAAATCAGTGTGGGAACAGGCGGGAAATGCCCCTAGAACTGGTCATCATAGGCCGGTAAGAACTCTCAGAGACCAGTAACGGGCCTTTGGATACCACCGAGGAGCCCTTAAAAGCCGCAAGAGGCCCTCAGAAACCGGCGTGGGGCCCTTATGGAGATCTTATAGACTATTTAGGGCCCATGAGGTGCTCTAACGAGCCCCATGGGCCCTTATGAGTCGAAATATGGTCATCGTTAACCCTCAGCGGTCAAATGGCGCCGCAGGGCCCCTCGGACCCGAGGGTCCCTCTGAACCCGATGAGGGGGGGGGGGGGTACGTGTCCCATTAGACCCTTAGCTACGCCACTGTTTCATATCCATCATGTCGGGTATTTTAGGCTCGCCCCCCCCCCCCACTTGAAAATCGTTCCCGAGCCCCTGCGCATCCCAGACCAAGTTCGCCAGTAACTGTCGCCTCAGTCGTCCCAACCCATCGGGCATCGGGTCTGGTTCATGTTTCTCATCCTAGCCTGCCTGCCATTTGTCTCATTCAGTTGGTCTCCCGTCCCAGCTTGCCAGCCCATCGTCCCAACTGGACAGGAGCCACGGCTTACCATTGGTAGCTCAATGGAGAGCGAATAAAACTGGCAGAAACACGTGGGTTTAGTTGGTCATCCGCCTTCTCGGTGGGCTTAGTATATACCTACTTGCCCATGAGTGTTGGGTGGAGTAGATAGTAGGTACCTACATGGATAATTCTATGAAAATATAATTAGCTATTCCGTTCCACAACAAAAGCTGAAAATTATAGTTGCTATATCGTATACTTTAGCCACTGCCTAGTGCCTAGCATTGTACAGATGATATGCGCTGATAGGTATAGGTAGGTACATGTAATTGGTCGAATTGCTATTTTTGCCTGATACCTAGATCGCTCGGAGAAAAAGTCGCATGTCAAAGTAATGTCAAAGTAGGACTGGGAAGTCAAAGTCAGAGCCGTTTTCGGAGTCGGTCGGAGTCGACAGTTCTGCATGAAGTCTCAAATCGCACCTTAAGTCGTCAAAATTTTACCGACTCTGATTTCGGAGTTGGAGTCCACATTGCATGAATTTAATTTGTTTCATAACCCTGTTTGCTTTAAAATATTGAGTTTTTTACCTTTCCATAACATTTTGCATAATTATTAATGTAAAATATCTTATTGTTGTTAACAGTAAAAGGGTTTGGAACGCACATAGCTCATGGCACAGAGGAATGCTTCAGGTGAGATGATACCAGACTTGAACTTACCTAACTCATGATATGCGCTCGTGATATAAATATCCGGAGCCGGAGCTGAAGTCGCATTGAAGTCGGGGTTGATTCATGATTGTTGAGGCCAAGTCAGAGTTGGAGTCTGAGTCTTTAAAAAATATTCGGCCTAACAGCATTGGGTCAAAGGTAATTTGGGTCAGGGCCATATAATTTGGAAGGAAGCTATAATAAAGCTAATTGCTTGAAAGTATTGAAAGTTTCGTTGCGATTCGTCGCCTTTTACGCAAGTTAATCGTGAAAAACAGAGGACTAGTCCGTTTGACCCCCTACACATAGTGCACGGCTTAACCCTCGCCGGCACAGGGAAAGATTTTTTTTTCAGATTACTCGCGTAAAAAGCGGCTGATCACGACGAAGCTTTCAGTACCCTCGCGTTGATTAATTTTACACCTACCCTGAAAATTCCATGACCCGGACCCAAATGACCTTTGACCTGTGATCTATTTTCCGAGACCATGTTTGGCTGGAATCGCAATTCGGCGTGTGTCGGCTCGCATTAGCCGCGCGTTCGCAGTCTTTTCGTGGTTTCAAGCGTTCAAACATGGATGTCAAGGTCACCCGAAGGTCAGGTAAGGTCACTGACCTTTACTGACCCCGATTCATTTTTTCGAGTTTTACATGTTTCTAGGCTAGTTTTTTTTTAGCTAAATTCGAATTAAGCAACCATTTGAACATTTACGAAGTAGATTTAGTGCCTTCGCAACATGTTACGAACTGTCAGAGGCGGTTGACACCTACTATGAATACCCGGCAGGACCCCTACTGGTTGACCTGACCTGACCTGACCCGACCTGGCCTGAATGCGCGAAGACATCATCTGTAATCAAAACTAACATGATAATATTCGTGATCAGCACCCCGGAAAACCTCATGGCAGTCACACTTTATACGACATTCTAACAGGTCCCGATTTTCCCGACGTTTGGGTCTTTGACCTGACCTGGAATGTCAACCAATGAACTAGGACCTTAACCCTATTCCTGGCGGGGGGGCCTTTAAGGCCCCCCTTCAGGTTTTTCTTGTGCCATTGCCAAACACCGCAAGACTGAAAGCTCATACTCGGTGACTTTTTCTAAACATTCATTGCGCACATTTTGACAAAAAAAAAAGTTGCCGGGTCAGGTCAGGTCAGGTCACCAGAGGCGGTTTGGTGACCCCACCTCAGAAAAGTTTGCAATCACGCCAGAGCTAGAGTTTTTGACCGATCAATTTCTTCTCTTCAGGTTTTAGTTAAGGTACCAGTATGTGCAATTTGTATATCTCAGAACTTTCATATCTGTGACCTGAGGTCAGACCAGACTCGTGACCTTTAGGTACATTGCAAGCCTATGGGAAAATATTGAAACGCCTCCTGCTTCGTGTAAACGAGTCAAAACCACCCAATTCTCTCAGTATTATGGAAGATTATCTCATCGGTGATGATCTTGATGCCGCTAATTGACAGGGGCACCGGCAAAGGTCATCTGAGGTCATGTGACGTCATAAAGCGTTTTTCTGTCAATAAATCACGACACGATGGTGCTAAAGACTTGTAAGTGGTACCAAACTGCTCGCCTGGTCAAGGCGCGTCGTTTGGTATGCAGCATGACCATACCCCACAACCTCATTGATGAATGACCTGACCTTGACCTCAGGTCAAATTTCAAATTGACCTGTGAAGGTCATCACATACTTATTTCGCATCGCCTCGGCGAGAGCAACAAAAAATGTATGGTTTTATGTCTCTATGTTTCTTAGTTTAAAAGTTATATAGGTAACTAATTCCAAAACATTTTATCGTTGATGACCTCTGGTGACCTCAATATTGACCTGACCTGAAAATGTTTTATGTAAAAGTTGTAGATCTATAAACGACCTATCAAACGCCGTTTGCCGTTTGTCGCTGCGATGTGTAGTTTTTGAGATCTGAAGGGGGGCCGAATCGCCCCACCCGCCAGTTTCTTGTCCCGGCGAAGCCCGCCAGGAATAGGGTTAAAATTGGGAATCAGCGGCTTCCTCTAGTCACGGGCAACACGCTCGTTTTTCGGCAAAGCTTTAGCTCGATCAGGGGCCAAACAGCAAGAGGGGGGTCCAACGGACCCCCTCCCCACATACTTTTACGTTCGCGGCTGGGAAAACACCAATACGGGCGAGGGTTACTTTTGTTGGCTTTACAAAGTCTGAAATTTATCAACAGGTAAACGGACAACTTCTGACTACAATAGTACGGCACATCAAAAGTGGCCTGAAGGAATCCTTATAGAACAGACATAAAGTTCAATAACCTGCTTCATCTTTGACACGCAAATACAGCATCGGGACCGCTGAACTCCTAGCAACTCTCGATAAATACGAAACATCCACTTCTGGGAAGTTGACACCACCCACGCCAA